TCTCAAGACAGATTGATTTGCTACGTCTGTCTGCACTTGATTTCTCAGAAGGACTTGAAACCATTCTCAGTATCTAGTTTTCGCTGGTCTTCTACATACGGGATGTCATCTCTTACCTCATGTCTGTCTAAAGCCCTTGCCTGTGTTCATATTCTCCATTAGGTCAAACCAGTATTTACATGAATTAAACATCTTACTAATGCACTGATTTCTGTATAGACAAAAATCCAATATTGAGCCCTTGGTATGAAGTGGCTGTTTTACATAATATTAGACCTCCCTCTCTTCTCTCTTTTCTTTTCCTGACCTCACAGATGAATGACACTAATCTTCTATAAGGAGGTTTTAAAATAGCTTCAAACCATATATAATAAATATCTTTATTTTTGAGTGGACACTGCTGTATCTGATTTACCAGATACATGACAGCAGCTCTGTGTTGTAGTGGTATATCTGTAATGTCTGAGGGAAAACATTTCAATTGTTTATCTGTTTCATAATTCATCATCTTAGGTCATGATAACTGTCAAAATAACCAAAAACAACTTCCTTTGCTTTTCACATCATAATCTATTATATTTCTACCAATCTGTACACAGACAACTGGAACCTGTCATTTTACAGTAGCCTCCTTAATGCACCGACCAAAATGACCTGCTGCCTTTCAACCACTTTTTCTTCACATTGAATACATCTTTATCATTCTTAAAGTATAAAAGTAAAAGTAGACACCACTTTTTTTCATGCCGTTGCCTACATTTTAAATGGATGTCTGCCAATAGGACTAGATCTCCGTTGTGTTCATTTTCAATCATCTCGTCGTCCATACTACTATGCTAACACCGCCGCCACCAAGCTGCAATGATTTGCCGCCAATGAATACCACCGAATCTGTCGATTCATCTTGTAGTGGTGCGTCAAATGCAACGTAGATTCCCATCCAATTAGATTGAATTTGGTATTGATGACGTGAAAAATAATAACGGTAACTCCATTGAAATGATTCAAAACTAAAGTAACGAGCCAATTTTTTAAAATGTAAGGAGTAGAAAGTACAGATATTTGTGTAAAAATGTAAGGAGTAGAAGTAAAAAGTCGCCATAAAAATAAGTAGTAAAGTAAAGTAAAAATATCAGAAAAATCTACTTGAGTACAGTAACGAAGTATTTGTACTCCGTTACTTCCCATCTCTGGGAGTACATGACCATCCTTCAAAGCTCTGAGCTGCCTGTGCATGAAGAGTAAGATCAGTTTATCCTAATCTGGATAACATGATCAGAGCAAAGGTTTGGAATTTTTAAGGATTGATAGAACTAATATTTGTCCACTTAGCATAGAAAACCATATTTTTCAGACTTTTTTACCAAAATTTTATAAAATCCAGTCAGTTTTTCTTCTTAAGATGAACATACAATTAAAACTCTTTTATTTTTACTCTAGTTTAATATTTATGGATTCTTTATAGCAGTGGAATAATCCCTTTTATTTTGGATTTGCCTTAATCTTTTCATTTACAACAATGCCTGTTTATGTCTATGTTCAGGTTAGTTAGAGAAAAACATGTTGTCTTTTCAATTAATGTTTCTACTTTTGTTTTTTCTGGATAAAGAACTGAAATTCATTATTTTTTTATTATTATTTATTTATTTATTTATTGTTGGATTTTTTAAAGGTAGCCAACCAACTATCACCTTCTTATGAGTGAATAAGTAAAAAAAGTCAATTGTTTAAAAAACTAAGTTTAAAAGTCTTATGAGTTAATAAAAAATCTTTAGCCCTAAAAGTTGTTTCGCTCTGTCATCAGGTTGATTTCTCCTTCGAAGGCTTCTATTTCAGAGTGACGTTTGGTGTTTCTGCTGACAAAGCTCTCGTTTGCTTTTTGCCTTAAAGTGCAAACACACACACACATTCATGCAAGCATAAAAACTAGATTATGTGTCACTGAAATGCAGCATCTTTTAAAAAAATACAGAATGCAGTTTGATAGCTACTTCTTTGAGACTGCAGTTATTCAAACGATACGGAGAAACTGCAGCACTTCTAATGTAATGTATCTTCAATTGGCCTAGAAAATGTAAAACATGAGATGCAAGGTGATAAATGTGAAGCAATCTGATTAAATATCGTTCATTTCTTAGTCTAAATGTTTCCTTTCATTATTTAAGGGTTGCATGTTTCAGTTTTTTTTTTTCTTCTAAACAATGCATTTGGCTGTAAATTTAACAAAAACAAATATCCACAAACAGCAAATAGCAATATTCATTCATGATCCCTCAGAATGCGCTGTGCTCACAGAATGTCCTGGAGCCATTCTGATGGTATTTTTGTGTATGTGTATGTTGCTCTTTTTCAGACTTTTCATAAATCACCTGATGTTCCTTCAGAGCATTTTTCTTCCCCTCTTGCTCCAACTCGGTTCATGAAATTGCAAACTGCATCTCTAATGTTGCATATGGCCTCATACTGTATGTGCATGATATGACTTTCTGCATTTCCATTATGTGTGGGTGAGTGGATATGTGTGCATGTGCGTGACTCACAAGGGTGCCCAGAGTTCAGTGTTGATATGCTGTATATTTCCTGCGTTGACAGAGAGAATATTCATGAAATGATTGATGGTCTTGTTTTCTTTCCTGTTGCCAGAGAAGAAGGAGGAAAAAAGGAAACAGAAATAGATGCAGGCAGTGAGAGTGATCAAGGGATCGGTGTATTCATCTCTGCAGTCAAAGTTTTGAAGTTGATGTTGGGAGGATTACTGTTTGAATAAACAGCTGACTTGTTTGGCCTCATCACCATGAGGATGACTGTTTGATTATATTTTCCTCGATGTATTATGTGTTTACTGTTGGAGTTCTGAGTGGATCTTTGGTCAAATCCCATTACCAGGAAACTGGTGACATTTGGCCATTATACATTCAAACAGCGCTTTTATTTTGGTACTTAGAAATGTTAGACATAAATTCTTATTTTTGCTGTTTTAATGTTTCTCAATGCATAAACAACAGGAAAAAAGACAAATTAAATGAGAATACAGAAATATTTTAAAAAATCTTGCTATTTACTCCTGTTCATCTCTGTTATAAAATATGCTTGTAAAATAGCTCTAGTAGGTTTGTGCTCTTAGTTAAAAATACATTAGTTTCAGTTTATTTCTGTTAAATAATGTAGATAATAGATGAAACTGTATTGTTGTTCTCTTAATTTTGACAAGAAAACACAAATATACTGTTATTTCTGTTAAAGGTATTGTTAAGACTCGCCCTCTTCATTTAAAACAAAACAATGCGCGTGCGAGAGCATGCACAAGCCCATTTCTCCTCGTGCACGCTCAGTTTAAAAGTTGTTGTTCTCATAGCTCTTACGTACAAGCTTACTGTGTTCCAATGTCCACCCAAACCCCAAAATTCCTTCATCACTATATAGAGCGGGGACTTTATAGTGAACTCAGTCAACTTACCATTCAGACAGATGATCACTTCCCATTGGTCCACCGTGCCAATGCCTGCGCCATGTTTGTTATTAGTCGCCACTATCGGGTAGCAGCAGCCTATGGCGACAGTGGGCCGCTGTGACAGCAAATCCCATAATGCTTTGTGAGGAGAGCTCTCCGAGCAAAGTATTCTGGGATATATCTGCCTCTTCTTAGGCCTTTCTTTTCGTCTCATACGCTTAGCAGACACTTTTTTTCTTTTACGACCCTTGGCCATTTTCAAACAACCGTGGTGAGAAAGGTGAGCTTCAATTAATTGCTGAAACCGTAGCTCAACACAGATAAATGCCTGAATGTATGCCTGCGCTGAAAAAGATAGCTAACGGGGCGAGCACATAGGACGGCCTTACGCAAACAATATAACTGGAATGACCGACAATTTGGAGGACCACTTATTTAGATGATCCATCCAGAAATGAAAGATCGTCCTCTATACTTTTAAGTAATAAAGAGGAAAATATTAAAATGTGAAAGTTTCAGTTATGTTAGCGTCCACAACTGAAAATCCAGCAGGTATCCATGGCGTACTCAAAACTCAGAATATTTTTGAACTTCTTTTATTCAACCCATCATCCATCCTGGCTTGATTAATGTCTGGTATGTTGGATGACTTGCCATTAAACAAAATGTGATTCATTTTTCCCTGAATTATGTATGTATATATATATATATATATATATATATATATTTATATATATATATATATATATATATATATACCGTAAATTCTCTAATATTGGCCTGTATTCCAATAGCGGCCGGGTCTCTAATAATGGCCGGTCTCGCTGTCAGAGGAGGTAAATAATGGCCGGTCTCTAATACAGGCCGGGGCTATAAACGTTTTTTCTGGGCATACCTCAACATTATACTTGTGGTAGTAAGTAACATACAAGTACCACAGCCCTGCGCAGCTGAACGACAGGCCCTGCTGCTGCCCGTCTGCGCGAGGAAGAGAACAGACACGCAGCAGAACAGGAGGAGGAGCGCGAGTGATGAGGAGAATAAAGGGAGAGATGAAGAGGAGGAGGAAACTGAGGAGGAGAATTAAACAGAATTGGAGGATTTTTTTTTTTTTTTTTTTACTTCAAACCAAGCGAGACATGGTAACTGTACTTTTTCAATAAATGAACCTAGTGTTTTATAGGTTCAAATAGACACAAAATCTCATTTTTATTCATTCCACTGGTAGTCTGTTTTGCTCAAATAGCAATAGAGGCCTGTCTCTAATACTGGCCTCTATCCAATAAAGGCCTGGACCGCGATGCACTTGAGTGAAATAAAGGCCCGGGCCTATATTAGAGAATTTACGGTATATATATATATATATATATATATATATATATATATATATATATATATATATATATATATATATATAAACAGATCTTTTTTTGATAATTTTCTTGCAGTATATTCATGACTGTGTCTTTTTGAGCTCTCTCTGCTGTGTGTCTGTGGCTACCTGCCCCTACTAATAGCTCCTCATGTGGTCTGATGTGTTTTGTTGCAGCAGCATGGACCGCATCCAGCTGCTAAGAAGAGAGTATCAGCAAGCGAGGCGAGAAGGCATGGTGCCACCATATGAAGAACTTGACCCCAGACACAGAGGACATGACAGCGACCCACACAGGGTATGTGGCTCAATCTCAAGCTAAACTTGGCAGAAAAAAAAAACAACATAACCCTATTAATGGTTAAAATTTAGCAGAAATACAGCTTTTGAATTAGGTTTCTGAAAATGTATTTCCATCTTGATCCCAGTGTCTTTGAGTTGCATGGAGCGTACTCTCTTCCTCCTCACACGCCATCAAAGGAGTGATCACTACTTTCACCGTATCTGCCAAGTGATCAAGGCCCTTTAGCTGTCAGTCGTGAGGTGCTTAGTGATGTGAACGGCTCCTGCGGGTATTTTGCCGATCACACCGATATGATATGAACGACGCACAGAGAAGATAAATAGAGGTTTGAGTCACTTGTCATCCCGGAGGTGCTGTTTTTCAAATCACAGACTCATAATCACATCCACACAGATCCACAGCGGAGGTTAGACTACCTGAGTCAATCCTAGAAAAAAAGCTCCCCTTTGATAAACATACTGGTGGATTAAGAGTTTCCTCCTGCATCCACAGCAGGTGTCATCATAAAGCTAATGAAACAACACTATTTGCCAAACATCGCTAAGATTTTATCATAAATTCTAAATAAATTAAATGTATTGTTTAAGTGAAATCCTTGTTGTAGAGAGACATTAATTTATTTAAGATTCAATGTTTGATTGCGGTGGAAAAGCAATCCTCCATTAGTGAAAGCTGTAAAAATTATTATTATGGTTTTGACCATCAATTAAACTTGACTTAAATTTAAAAACATTTCCTATTGATTGCATATCAGTCGTATAAGACAGAGAGTGTGTGCATATTTGACAGAATACAAACTCATAAGGAGGGTTTGGTGGCTGGGAGCAGCTCTACAGCGTTAGAATGAGCGTGTTGTGCTACATGAGCACAACCGGGCCCATTACTAAGTCCTAATGTTTAATCATTCAGCTTGATTGATTGCCCAGCCTTAAAAGGTACCATTTTTTAATTAATGCATTTTTCATTATTTAAATTTGAAGCTTAGTTTTATCAGTTCTGCTTCTGAGCTCCCAATTTGTATTGAGTTTTAGTCAGGTGAGGCCTCTCCAGACCGAGGAGGGATTTTGCTTGCTTATGAGCCTCGCTGTGTCTTATCTTACATTATGTAAATGACTTATGAGTCCTGCTCTGAATATGGATACAGACTGAGCTTGTAAATCAAGAGGTGCAGTTTGTCCAGCTTGAAGAACTCCTCCTATTAGAACAAGATTAGATATTGTGATGAGACAGTTACCTTGAAGAAGTCTGAATGCTTCTGCCTTTATTACAATAACTAATGCAGTAATCAGAATGCTGTATTAGTTTTTGTAATAAAGTTTTATAGTTTGCTTTATTCCCTGTTTAATTCAGACAGGTTTCAATGTATAATTAAAAGATTAAAGTCTGTCTTCATTGCTGTTAATCAACTTTTTATTAACAATTAGCTAATAAAAAAACATGATTATCAAAATGTCTCCCACGCCTTCTATTAGTTGTTAATGATATGTTTAAAACAAAATCGGCACAAAGAAGAAATTAATAAAATTATCCCTTTTTTTACCTCAACAATTATGCAAGACTTTATCACATCATCAGCATTTCTTATTGGGGTATTTCTAGTTGCTTTAAGGAGTGGAAAAACAAATTCCTGCTCTCCAATTGTAAGATGGTGTTTACTAAACAAACAACTGCGTTGCAGCCCTTATGGTTTATATTAGCATTGTTTTAAAACTGCACAAAATACAACTGAACAATAGAGAGGAAATAAACTTGATGTGCTGCAGTTGAGGCTCCTTCCCAACCTCTTCCAAAGGTCACAGCTTGCTGTACAGTACCAGTTGGGCCCTATAATTTCCGCGATCACGGAATCGCGGACAAAAACGCGGAATCTAGTATAAACGCGGAATTTCTACATTTGACATGAAATTCTGGTTTTGTGTGGGAGAAGAACGTATGTCGGGGGGAAATGCACATCGGGGGACGCAAATCTGGGCGACACAACCCCTCCCGCTCCGTCATTTCTGCTCACCCTCCCCCATCAAAACATTGAAAAAATGGCGAAGCGGCTCTCCACAGCTCCGCTTTCGGCGAAAAAGTTGAGAAACACTTGTTTACATACTTGCTGTATTTTGCCTTGTTTTTTATGCACTTTAATGTACTGTGTGGAAAATATGATTCTTTATGAAATACTTTATAATTCTGAAATTAAGAGGTCCATTTTATTTTTTTTACTTGAAAAAGCTAATGGAGCACTTTTATTTATAACCATTGGTTCATAACCATTCATATTTTTTTAGTACTTAGAGTTCAGTGTTATGTTGCATCATGCAGTAAAAGTACTGAGTAAATGTTTTTTTTTTTTTACCTCAATAAATTTAAGGTCATTCCTATTTTATTTGTGTACATTTTAATCATTAACATTAAAAGCATATTCTTTTTAAGACTGAAATAACAGTAAAGGGTAAAAAAAACTGAATTCGCAAAAATTAAAACGGAAAAAAACGGAATGTGGGAAAAAATAAAACGGGCCCTATACCAGCCACCGCTTCATCAAAATAGTTAGACTGCTTCAATGTCAGATTTTAATTTCACCACATTGATATAAAACATCCAAACTGCTGGGTTTTATCTCAGAGTGGGCTGCACATTACATAGCACAGTCTATAAGAGGTTCCTGGTGTTTTTCTTGTTTTTTTGACAGTTAAAGCTTATATTTAATCCCCAAAGTAACCTTTATGCTTCAATAAAGTTACCCTTTCCATGTGTTGAATATTAACATTAAAGTTTCTAAATATTGACCAGTGTTTGATCAGGTAACCTGTATGTTTTGTGAATTACTTAAATGAATGACCCTACTTTAGAGTTTGATGTGTTTCAGTTAGTTAAATAAAGGAATTGAAAAGGAGATCATAGGAGTAGCAGTTACCACTGCATCTAAGCAGCCCATCTCATTAAGAATGATTGATTTAGTAATTAAAACAGAGGTGATTATTTACCTGACTGGCTTCCTGTGTGAATGGGAATGGGGAAAAACAATGGTTATGATAGTGAGCTGGTGGCAAGCTAATTCAATTTCACATTTATTGGTTTGTTTGCATCTCCTTAGGACCTTTTTATTTTTTGAAAAGGATTTAGTGAATATTTATGAGGAATTAAAGTGATGGAAAGTTAATGTGCAGAGAAAACGAATGAAAAAGAAGGAGATAAAGGCCTTCATAGAAGGACAGTGAACTCCTCATATAATGTTACCCCGATATATTGAATGTTTTGCTTTCCCCCCCCTGCGGCTCCATTACCATTTCATTGATTCATGGTTATGGTTTAGCTGTCTCTGCTAGCAAAATTATGTTTGCCTAAAAACAATTATCAAGCAACAAAAGCCTCGCCACAACTTGGTTTCCAAGTGAGTGCATTCTGTGCTTGTGGGAGGATGTATTTTGGAAGACAACAGACTTTCTCCCCAAGGAAAGGGGAACTAAATCAACAGGGCGCTGTGCTGTTGTCACTTACACACAGTCTTACACACAGTGCTGCATAGAGGAGACTTTAAGGAAGCCAATTGTTGTGGGCGGCGCAACAAAGATTTAATTATCATCAACAGATTTTATAGTTTTTACCCTGGAAATCTACTTCAGACCTAAACAGATAATTGATTTACATTCATTTAAGAGATAATCCTGCTTTTTTTTTTGTGGTTTAAGAAAATAATCATCTCATTTAGTGCTTTAATGTCTAAAATGTAGCTATTATCAAATAGGGCTCTTAACATAAAAATGCAGCATTTGTTTATGATCTAATGATACAAACTGTGAAAATAAGGAAAGAAGTATCTCAGAACGGATACCGAAATCGTCTTGCCCAATTAAAAAAGAGATCTTCACTTCGATGTCACTTAGAGTTTATGTTGTTAAGGTAACCCACATGTTTCTCATGTATTTTCCATCCTGATGCAGATTGAAGCAAAGGTTGAACCTGACCCTCTATAACTTGGCTGAGAAGTTGAAAAATGTATCCTTAGAAACCTTCACATACCTTAGTAATAGCTTGCAATTTAGCCTCATTTTGCAGTCAATTCCAGGTTTATGCTCGTTGATAAAAATATGCCTCCCCAAGCCCGACAGATGCTGGGGATTGTGCTGAATTGGACAAAATCCTATATTTTCTGCACTCCATAAACCTGCCTGTCAAACTCCACAGCAGCTGAGCTCATTCAGTTTCTCTCTGATGACTCTATCCTCTTCGTCACACTTGCTAGGCCAAGCAGTTCACTTGCATTTGCCTTTCTAATGTCGTGCTTGTTGTGGCGTCTCAACAAGCTCCCCAGTGGTAAACTGTTCCCAAAGAAGCAGTGGTCTGCTGTAGCTAAATTTTTAAAAATAAATTCAGTTTGGAAGTTTGCTGAAGAGTAGCTTCTATAACTTTGCTGCAAACCTTATATTGCAGTGGTGAAAAAATTTGAAAGGTTGGAAAATAGAATTAATTAATAATTAATCATGTAGTATTCTAATCAAAGTTAATTTGTCATAAAAAATTGATTTAGATCATTTTTATTGACGGTTACCAGCCTCCTGGCATTAAAAATAGCAATTCAGATTATCAATCAGGAATTATTATCTTACTTTGACAGGACATTTGGATATTTAAATCAGTTGCAATCCTCGATTTGAATTAACCACTTGTAAATGTTATTTATTTATTATTTCTGACTTAATTTGTCATTTTGAATCATTAAACAAACCACAAGAAATAATATAATTCAGGCTGCTAAATCAAGTTGATTCTGACTCTTAGAAACACTAGATAAGCACAAATAATAAACAAATAATTTCTTGTTACAGTTAGTGAAGTCTGACATAATTAAATTATTAATAGCTATACATTAAACTAACAGCAAATCTGGTGTAAACCGCATTAAAGCGAATTTGTGATTTGGCACAAACGGAAGTCTGTAGAATCAGAGACTATGCTCTGGCTATCCCGGGGGGGACAATAAGCTAAGGAAGCTAGCAGCAGCT